ATTTAAATTATTAAACGCAATCTCTTCTCGTGTTATCTTCAAGGTATACTTAAGAGATATACAATTGTTCTCGACTCAATAGACACTCGACTGATATTAGATTAAAAAATTACCAGTACATAACACATACGATTCTCTTTCAAGAATTGATCATTAAATGTCGAAAATTTAATATAAAAATTCCAAATGTCAAAAACAATAAAATTAGGCTAACTCTTAAAATCCTTATGTCCAAAAAATGTAAACTTGTATATTTCTAAATGAGAAACATATTGATTAAAATATCGAAATTCTTTGCATAAAGTTTTTTTCTTTTTTTTTTTACGGGAAAATTTGCACGGATACCCTCTGCTCCGGGGCGGGGAGGGCGGTTATGTGGGACTCCAACCCACTAAAAACTCCCCGGTTGTCCCTCTTGGCCCGTTTTACCTGACGGTGGGGGGGGCAGCGGGAAACGCGCTGATTCGTCCGCCACCCCCTTCCGCAAGTTTTTCCTGATGTGCATAAAAGTAATTTGATGTCTTTACCGTTAGAAATTATTGAGATACCAAGTCAACAACATTCTATATCGAATAAGAAATGTCTCTTAAAAATGTCTATCGGTAACGATAAAGCGAGGGCGAGGAATCGGGACACTTCACTATGTTACTTGTCGGTATTTTATCGCTAACTTTCGTAATTCACTACTTGAGTGACCGTTCTCCACACGAGAGTATTCTCACATAAATATGCTACTCGATGCACATAAATACACTACTGTTCTCTCTATCGTAGCGTGAGAGAACACACGCGTATACATATATGATTTGCCGCGTGAAATTAACTTTCAAGCAGTCGCACCTTAAAAGCGACAACGCTTAGATATATTGGTGTATATACTATACCATAAATACAGCGTATTACTACCAATATTTATTAGTAATTAATAAAATTAATACTTCTTATATATTTATCGAAATAGTATCGATATATACATTAATTTGAATAAAAATATAAGGATTTATCTATCTACTTAATTTCGCAAAAACACTTAAGTTTTATCTAGTCAAAGGATTATCAAATAAACTAATCATATAATTGTATTTCATTACAATTAGGTAGATTTTAAATAAAGGATCAAACGCGTTTCGTCTTTATGTATTATCGAGCAATGTAACCACCCATTGCCACGCAATAATTGGAACAGAGCCATATTGAAGTCCGCTTCGAAATCGCGTTTTGTACCCACGATTATTACGAACCCGCCCAGCGCTATCGTTATTAATATGATTATCATTATCGTCATTAGCGCGGATGCTCCATGCAGCGCACGAACGCGCAATCTCTTCGCGAAACCATCGACGACGCATGATCGTGCCTCGGTAGTGACTTTCCGCTTCCGGTATACGACCGTAATCGGCAACAAAGATTCTCCCCCGGGTTACCGTTCCAAGCACGAACCCGCGCGATAAACAGCTACATATATCTAATGGCTCTCGATAAAAAGCGTTTGGTAACATGAGGGGATGATTTCCGGGTCGACCTTGCTCACGTTACTGACACTCCAATATGAACTTGGAGTTTAAAGAAATTTTTCAGTTAATATTGGATATAAAAATTATTTTTGCTGAGACGTATAATTTTACGTCGCGGTACTTGAAAACATAAAATTTTAAATCGAAATTATATAATTAATATATTTTATTATCAAATGCATAAATGCAAGTGTTTGGATATTCTAATATGTTCCAGGTATCTTTTCATCTTTATACGTGAGTATAATTAAACACCAATTTTTCTACATCTATATCAAAATGTAAAGAAACTTGTGCGTTCTACTACCTGTTGTATCCGCGAGTCTTACAAACACGCTCGCGTATTTGTAAAATTTTATTCTTGATCGACTTATTTTTTCGCTCGAATCTTTCACGAATTGCTTCCCCGAACAATTTTGTAACTCCCGGCGACTGGATTATATCGTACTCCAAAACAGCTTGACATACCTTTTCCGTACATCGACTTCTGTACACTATACACGTCATCGCGCACGTCTGTCGCACATGTGGCAATGTCAAAGTTAGCCTTGTCCATTTACACTAACCTTCATGCCCGATTGGCTGAACGTGGCAACGCGAAGGAATCGCGGTCGCAGGTTAAGGAAATATACAATACTTTACGACTTCAAAATATGATTTTACTCAGACCCCGATACTTATAATTTTCATCCACTTTTCAACAAAATTCCGTAAAGTCTTATTTATTAAAATATTAAAATTGCGCGGTTTAGCTCAAGATCATCTTCGCTTCAATTTTCAACGTTAAATACGGCTTAAATTTTCAATTGTATTTCACGTAAAACTTACGTAAAACCAAGTAAAAACCAGGAACTAAAATTATTTATTAATCGTTTATTCAGACTTCAACGACTTATTCCCGAGATGAGTAAAAAAATAAAACGGTGAGTAAAAAAAGAATATGAAAAGTTTTTTATATCGGAGTGTCATTCAGCGCTAGGTGGCACATTGGACCGAGACAGTTTTCACTACGATTATGAAGAAGTTAATGACGAAATAAAGACATGGGCATAGATACACTCCACAGGCTGTCGCCTTGCAAGTAAATCCCCCCCGAGCGTTTTCCGGATCGTTAAACATCGTGTCGAGCAAGCGTGTCGCTCATTGACCCTCGTGTTCCAAGGATAGTCGATGGAAATCGACTAGCGGACAGACGTCATCGCGCAAAACGGTCCCGTGAAATAATTGCCGTTTCGATATAATGATTCGAGGACTCTCGGGACCTTTTCTCAGTAAAAATAAAATAACGTGCCACTGTCAACTGGACTGCTATTTTAGACCTTCGGATATATTCCGCCAAATCTTTCTCCTCTTCGCAAAAGGAGCAAGTTAAGTGCGCGTTAGCCGATTCTCCCGAAAATCCAGCATCGCTGCTTGACAAAATTTCTACAAAGATATGAATGTCCCTCGTTATACTCGGAGGCACGCGCGAGTGTCACTTGAGACAAGATGAAAAACTCGGCGATTTCCTCGCGATGATATACACGGACTAGACGTTCAACAAAGTCCTGTAATTTCGTTACGCTTACATGAAATTTACTCATTATTCAATAATTAAGTTATAAATTCTCCAATGTCCATTTCTACCAACGCAGATTGACTTTAATCTCGGTTTAACTTATTTTTATCCTT